CATTCTTAGCATCGCTTGCGCCGCACAAGCCCCTTCGAAAGCCCAGCCCGCCCTGCCACCGCCGGTTTTGGGGGCAGTAACTAATCACTTGAAGGGCTTCAATAATCCCGCAAGCCAACGCACTGTAGAGCCCAAGACGCACGCACATACACACTGCGATTAAAAAAAAAATAATAGTACAATTTTTTTTGGAGGAAAAAAAATATTTTTTTTAAAAAACCATAACAAACAACAATAACAACAACAGCAAGCAAAACCCCAAGGCTAGAACATTTAAAGCAAGCAAAAGTTCCCCCCGGGGGAAGCTGGAAGAAGTTTGCAATTGAATTGCAAAAGACTGGTGGTGTTTGCAAAGGTGGGGAGTGGAGTGGAGGTAAGTTTTGTGCGGTTGTGTGTCGTGTGTGCGTGCGAGCGTGTGAGGGGCGCGCGGTGGCTGGAGGGAGCTGTTTTCTCCACAATTTCTCTTGGCTTTGTGTGGCTGGCAGGGAAAAAGGCGGTGGGGGCGCTTGTCCTCTGTTATTGACTTGGGAGGCTCAGGTCGGTGGCCCCTCTCCCCCCTTCCCTTCCCCCCCCCCTTTCTCAATCTCCGCAGGTGATAGCTCAAAACTGCCCCCGTCGGATGCCCGCATGATGGGCAACACGAGGGCGCCGGGGGGGGGAAGGGCAGTCGTCCCTTCAGGCCCCGCTTGTTGGCCTCTAGATTCTGAGGGGCCACAACCACGCCGACCGAGGCCCACAGCCACAGGTCTCGACCCCAAAGGAAGCCATTGCAGACGCAATCGTGATGCTTTGGCTCTCTGAGGCAAGCGGGTTGTGCTCGGGAATAAAGAGGTTAAGGAGCAACCGCCACCGCTAGAAAGCTCTCCCTTCAGCTGGATCTGAGCCACCTTGCATCCAAGCCTCGTAGCAAGCACTCATCGGCTCGCGCGCCACCGCGCGCGCGCACCCGCACACAAACGCACACAAATGTTTGGCGTTTTTCACATTTTTTTTTTTTTTGCCAAGAAGGGCTAAGTTGGGAGCAGCTCAGGCCTTGAGAAGTAAAACGATCCCGTCCCTTGAGTTTCTCTTCCTAGTGGCGAGCTTTAGAAAGTGGCTGGAGCTGAGATTGGGCTGGGTCAAAACCTCACCCCCCCCCCGCAAAGAGCTTTGACTTTTTGATCTTGGTTTTCTTGCTTTTAATCTTCCCACCCCACCTCTTCTTTTTTTTTTAAAGCCCCCCCTCCCTTTCCCGGTTAAAGATGAAAGAAAGAATGTTCTCTTTTGCTGCTTCTTTGCTTTCTCCAGAGCTGCTGCTGCTGCTGCGGGTTAATTGCACATTGAAGTGGAAAATTTTCCGGAGTCAGCAGAAACATTGTATCCAAAAAAGACAAAGTCGCAGTTCCAACCAAACGAGGAGCTTGTCCCTGGAAAACTTCCTTTCGGTAGGAACCCTAGGCTTATTTCTCTCGCCCTCCCGAACTTTTGAAAAAGATCTTCAACCCCCCCCCCTCACCGCCCATGAATGGGGCTACAGCCTAAAGGGGGAGGGAGTTGTACTAGCCTTTGTTCGCAAAATTCACACTTTGAAAGCGAGGAAGTCCCCTTACATGGGGGGGTGGGGGAGGAGAAATTAGTTTATCAAAATCCCAAGCAAAACACAGGAAACTGGAGAGGTCGGCCTCAGCCAAACTCAGTCTCTCATTTTCGAAAACACACCGTCCTGGATTTCAACTTAATGGATTAACTTAGTCCTGAATGATGTCACAGCATAAAAATATTTTTGAAACAATGAAATACCAGCCACCTGTGTTTCTCAGGAGAGTTCTGAACCGATTAGAACCAAGTGCCTGGCTTTTGATTTGAGAGACATGGAAAGTGAGGCGCTCTATAAATGTCTCAAAAACTTTATTAAGCAGGCATGCTTCGTATTGTCTGGCTGGAAGCAGTATGCATGTGAATTTATTAGTGACACAATATGGATGGAAATCTTTTCATTGTTGAACAATTCCTAGATTTGAAAACAAAGCATATTACATCTGATTAACCCTGTGTGACTTGGAAGTGTGATAATTACAGATTCTGGTTTCATTTGGCTTGGTGGGGGGGGGGGAGAAAGAGTTTAGTCAAAACTCATTAGTGGCACCCCACATTCTCCGTGCTGATAAAGCTGAAGGAAGATAACATTCTTAGGCTGTAGCTTTTCAAGTGAAGGGTAAGCATCAAGCCAGAAGACCACTTGGGGAGAGAGAGAGAAGTTGTCAATTTTGCAGAGTTTACTGGGCATTTTCTCTTGATATATAAATGTTCAGATAGTGAGCAATAACTATATAAAATGGAACAGCAACACGAATAGTCACTGAAAACATGCTCTTTTCTTTCTTTCTTTCTTTCTTTCTTTCTTTCTTTCTTTCTTTCTTTCTTTTCTCCTTCTCCTTCTCCTTCTCCTTTTTTTTGTAATGTATTCCTAAACTTGGAATGGTTGCCTTTGAGTACATAGTGCATTGCCATCTCTATAAATAGTGGGGGAATACCAGAGCAAAAACATTAGACTGTATTCATGGTGCTTGCTGGAGAGATTTCCAAATAATCCAGGGGGAAGTGTTATAAACTGCCTTGTTTCTTGTCCCAGTACTGTATATGTTCCAAATGGAACGTTGAAAATTTATAACTTGCATCAAAAAGGTGAAGAGAAACAGTTCAGACTAGTTTTAGAAGTTTTTTTCCCCAAAGGAATTGCCTTTTGGAAGGAATTCTGTTGGCATTTTCACAGCTTTTCACAAGTGACTTCATATTAATTTTCATTTCAGTGCATGCTTCTACTGGATTGATGTGTTGATAAAATATCACTGATAATTTGGGGTTGCTGATTACATTAAATGGTATAGGTGCAGGGAAAGGTATCAAATAGCTGGTACACATTTTTAGCAACATAAATCTGACCATTGTAATGGATTTCAGTCCCCCCATTCTTTGTATGTGGAATTTTATTACGATAATATTGGGGCAAGAGTATCTTCTTGTTAGATGTACTTAGTAATAAAAATAGCTTTAGATGTCCAGTTCTGCCAAAGCTCTGAAAAGCAAATGAATCACATGAAATGTCTTCATATTTAGTACCAAAATCTGGGATGTGTCCACTAAATGTAACACAGGGAGGAGACTAGAATGAAATGTTGTATTTATATGGAGTTTTTGGAAGAGCAGCATATCTGTTAGTGAAGTTTTGTAAACAGTAGAGAAGAACAGTCGTAACAAAAGTGAGAACTGATTTCTTGGTGAATCCCAACTGGAAGATTGTGTGTGTGTGTGTGTGTGTGTTTGAAGATCATATGTATGTGTGTGAGAGAGAAAGCTGTTGTAATGCTTTGAAAATAGCTCCCCCCCCCCCGCTCCTTTTGCTTGGATGGTAAACTAGGTCTAGGAAGAAACAGTTTCCTTTGCTAAAGAAGATTGAGCTCAATAACTTGTAGGTAGAAATACGTATATAATAGCAAATGTGATTCTGTAGTTAACATTTCAGCAAGTCAGTTCTGCTCTGCAAATCCTGTTTATTTTATTCTTTTTAATTTTGCATTTCTTTTTTGCATTTGTTGTTTTCTAAAGGTTATAGAGCAGGACAGTCAATATTCTGATTATTCAGGAGCGGGAAATATTAAAAGTGACTAAGGGCACAGTATAAAAATCTCTTTTATGTGATGAAAAGTTGAAAGCTGAAAATTCTGTTTGTTGTTTTGTAGCAAAATGCAATTAAATAACATAGTATAGCTGTGTAGTTTGTGCTTTCTGTGAAAATAAGTGCCCTAATTTAAAACTGGTTGGATTTCTCTCCAGAATGTAGAATGTTGTACCTTGCTTGGATTTTAAAAAGACATTAAGAAATAGGTGTCTTAAGCTATGTACGCTTTTTCTTTTTAAAAAAGCAAAAAAAATCATGCTGCTTAAAATATTTCCTTTTTTTAAAAAAATAAATGAACTGGAAAGCTTTGCAGTATGGTATTATATTTGAAACATGCAGAACTTGGCACCTAGAGTTACTTCATTCATTTTGGACTGAAAGATTTGTTGCATTACATGCTGCTGTTAAAGTGATCTCTCTGTGTGTGTTCTTGCGCACACATGTATGTATGGTCATGTGACCAGAACTTTGAGATGGTAATTAGCTAAAATTGTAGAATATTGTGGCTCTTAAAGAATGTATGCCATGGCTTGGAGTTGTGAACAATATTTATAGTGTCACTTAGTTATACTTTGCGAAAAACCTGGTCCCTTTATACATGCCATTCTACACAGAGCTGCAGATTTGAAAGTAAATTAACTCCTAGACTTTGTACCAGCATGGCCTTCAAAAGGGATTTGAACCATTGTAACTGACAGTAGCAAAGGGAGAAATAACTTCTTACAGTATCTAAAGATATACAAATAATAGTTCAAATATAACTCCTGAGGCTCTGGATTGGGGTACAATTGGAACACTTTCTGAAAAAGTTTGTAGTTTTTGCACTGTCTGATTATTTTTTTAGCTTTAAATTATTTCCAGCGAGCACTACTAGTACTGTATACCTAACACTCAGGACTAAATGTATTGACTAAGAATTCTGCAGTGTGATACCTTTTTGTTTTCGTTTTTTGGTTCAGTTTAGGCTACTGTAGAAGTTATGAACTGTGCCATATTTAAAAATGTGAAAATGATATATTTCCCACAAACGCCTAGTGACACTAGTTCTCATGGAGTTCTTGACTTTGTGTGGGATATGTTCAGTGCAACATTTTGTTGATCCAAATGTCCATGCAGATTGCCATCCCTCTCAAAAGCTAATTAGACAGTTTTGAGGTCCATATGGGGATGTACAATCAGATACTTCATTAGAAAGAGGGTATGGAAGTATCTTTCCTGACAGTTGGAAAATTTACTTTTAAAAATCATGAATAAGTCTTGGGAAATAACAAAGTTCTATAAATTTCTGTCACAGTCTCGTTTTTGTGTATGTTTTTACAAATGATTGTGAATCATTATAATATTGGTTTGTAAGAGAAGCAAAAGCACAAGAAAACTAACTTACATGTTCTGGAGCCTTTAATTTTGTATTTACATGACTGTGTAACACCCCTATATTGCTGGTGTGATATAATGGCTTGTGATGTGAAGTTGAATTGATGTAACCATTGATATGCCTTGTCCTGGCAGACATTTGCTGCTGCTGTAGGGTTTAAGATATGGCTGCTAGGAACTTGCCTCATGATGCTGCTTGGAATAGAAATACTTGTGTGTATGTTTGAGTGTGTGTGTTTTCCTTAAAGATTCAGCATAGTGGTGATGAGGTTATGAAATCCTCATTTAATTTTGGTGTGTGGGTGTGTGTGTGTGTGTGTGTGTGTGTGTGTGTGTGTGTGTGTGTGTGTGTGTGTGAGTGTGTGTGTGTGTGTGTGTGTGTGTAGGGTTAGGAATATGCATCTTTTCTGAAAAATAATCTTCAGTATTAAACAGCTATACTGCTGAGTGAATGTATTAACAAATAACCATCGGTAAAATCAAAGACATGTTGCATGTTTCTTCATAGTATATCTTTTTCACACGAGTGTTCCAAGGAACCTTATTTTTAAAGTAACTTCTGTATGCATTTATTGGAAGTGATTTTTTTTTACTAATTTACAGCTTAGAAATAATTGAACAGAAAATTGTTGATTGCTTGGATCATGATAACATAAAAAGAAAAGACAAACCCTACTGTCTCAGTGGATTGACAGTCTAAATTTTGGAGGGGGGAGAGCAGCTGAAAGAGGGTCAGGAAGAGAGGGATAGGGCTCGGAGGAGGGCCAAATGTGAGCAAAAATCATTATGTATGCTTAAGGCACTTAAAATTTATTTCTATTGAAGAAAGAGGGTTAGGAGATTTACAGTGCAATCCTCTGCAGTGCAGTAGGACCCACAGATGAGTAGGTGAAATAGACATCTTAGGAAGACTGGATTTTGAGTAGGAATTTGAAGGAAGGGAGAAATTGTTGATATCGAAACCTTCCACATGCCATTGAAAGAGTGTTTAAAGATTTCCCGTTTCCTTTTTGTATCTGATCAAATAAAATCAAACACCTGTGACTACTTGATTCATTGCTTCTCTTCCTACTCATTGTCACAAAGTGAATGTTGTTTCTGCCTCCCCCCAATTTTACACATGCAGGTGGCCTTCTTACAGTTGGAAGGTTTCCTCATGTATAAATTTGATTTGCACGCATAAAACTGGTTAATATTCTTTTCCAAACTGGCACCTCATTTTTTTTTATTTTTTTGAGAGGAATCATCTAGAACCCCAAAATATTCCTGGGACCAAAAGTCAAGACATTATTAGTAGCATTATTAAAATTCAATTGCTTGGGAACATAAAAGCATTGACTAATGTTGTTGTGTTTTTTTTTAATTGGTACAGAAACTGAAAATTGCTACTAA